AACTATGCTGTTCTTTCTTTCTTTTTTTTTTGGCGAGTGTGTTGCCCAGAAATGTTGGCCCATTAATGGGCCGCCTCTTGGCTGTTGCCCAGGGCTGGCAAACAGACCGCAGCCTGTGCCCGAGGCCCTGGCGCTATTGCACCTTGTGTTGTGACTATTCTTGGGTTAGTTCTACTTTAGCCTCGCCTTGGCCCGTGTGTTTGTGTGTGTGAGTGTGTGTGTGTGTGTGTGTGTGTGTGTGTGTGTGTGTGTGTGTGTGTTTATCTGTGTGTCATTTTTAGTGAGTGTATACGTGCGTTTGTGTGCTTGCCTTATATACTAATTACAACTTTCTCCGGCGCTGTGCACGTCTCTCGCGTCCTTCACTCTCCGAATGCGGCCGCTCGTGTTGTTGGTGTCCACGATCATGCCTGTCCTGGCGCTCCTGTCGCTCCTGCCGCTCCGGCGCCTGCTGGTGATGTGTATTGGTAAGTAATCTGGGCACTGCCAGCGCTGCGTCCAACAACCGATGTCGTTGCTCTCTCTGTTGGCGTCTCTCGTCATGCAGCGCGGCCTACCAGCGCCGCCGTTAACACCAGCGAAAGGGCACCGCACGCGGCCGGTCGGCACCCTCCTTGACCAGCGGCTTGTGGTATTCCCGGCCCGGACGGGAATGTATTACCGCCCAGCAGTGCTCGCAGTAATACTGCAGACAGGTCACATTCGCGCAGAAGAACGGCGCAAACTTGCCGCCGCAACGCTGTCCCTCGCACTCGTCGCACATCTGATCGTCCAGCACATATGGCTTCACCTCCACCCGCTTGTCAATGTCGCCGTGCTGCAGCTGTACGAAGCGCGCCGATATGGCCGCTATGTAGCTCTGCTGATTCGAGAAGGCGACACGGCCGGCGCCCTTGGGATATTTGAGCTCGGGATCGGTATCGATGCCCGCATAACAGACGCCCCCATACAGGCGATCCATGATCATGGCCAGCTCGAAGGCCTTCAGTGGACGTGGCACACCGCCCACAAAGACGGTCTTGCGCGGATCCAGGGACATGGTCGCATCCAGCACATAGTCCGCATCGGCCAGACGCCAGGGTCTTATTTGCACCGCCTTGTCCTTGATGGTGGGCGAGGAGACGCACAGATATAGTTTGTCCTCGTCCGTGATGCACGAATCAATTAGCTGCTGTACGCTGCTCTCGTCCTGGAACAGCAGAAACGCATAGCCCTTGGGCGGAAAATATGACTTGGACTCGGCCTTATGCGGCCAGTCAACCACGAGTGGTCCAAAGCGACGAAACGATGTGGTTATCTCGTCCTCATCAATGTCCGGCGGCAGGCCGCCAACAAACACCTTCCGGGAGAAGCGTGCCGTGCCATCGCCAGCGTTGCCCCCATTGCCGCCCGGGATGGGCGAGTGTGGCGAATGGGGCGACAGGCGCGACGGGGAGCCCATCTTAAGTGCATTCAAGTAGACCGTTGGATCATTGCCCGCAGCTATGGCCATGGCATCAGCCTCGCTCAAATGCTTCGGTCCGACCACGCCGCCGCCGCCGCCGGCCAGGCTGCGCATGCGCTCGTTCATCATGACCATGTTATCGCCACCGGCTCCGCCGCCCAGCGACATGCCGCGCATATAATCACTGAGGGTGTTCTCCATGCCCACGTTGCCGCCTTGCACGTGATGCAGCTGCCCATTGGCCGTCATCATGTTGCCGTAATTACTGCCCAGATAGGGCGCATCGCCGCCGCCTGTGGCGCCGGCTGTGCCCATGCCGCCACCGCCGCCATTGCCAATGGAAAGCGTGGGTATGTTCATGTGGCCGGGACCGGGACCGCCCATGCCGTCCAGGTGCGAGCCGGCGCAGCCATAAAGCGCTGTTGGCGAACTGCCCTTGATGGGAAAGGATATGCTTCGTCTATATTTGGGCGAGACGCCCGGCATGGACATGGGCGGAATGGGCGAGATGCCGCCGCTGCTGCAGCCCGCCTGAGAGCCATTATACGGCGATCCACCGCCGCCGCCGCCACCACCCGGCGAGGAGGGACTATGCGCACCACCTCCATCCCGCTGCTGCTGCTGCTGTTGTTGCTGCTGGTGCTGATGATGATGCAGTGCACTCAAATTGGGCGACAGCTGCTGCTGCTGTTGATGGTGTTGCTGCTGCTGCTGTTGCTGTAGCTGGGGCGGCGGCTTGTTGAGATTGAGATTGGGCGGCAGACCGCTGCAGCTGCAGGGAAGGTAACAGAGATGAAGAGGCGTTTACAAGTTTGGAATTTGATGTGCATTTGCAGGGTATTCATTTGTCATTATAGATTTGGATATTATAAAAAGGAGCAATTTGTTCAAAGATTTGCTTCAAATAATGTTTCGGATAGGGATAGATAAAAGAAATGGCATTAGTTTTTTTTTTTGTATGCTCTAAGAGGTTCATTTTTATAAACATTGCCGCCCAGCGTTCAAAATGAAAAGAATAAATTCTAAGAAATTTATGGAATTTATGGAATGTACATTTATATTTGTTACACTGGGCGTGGTTGTCTTTTAAGCAGAAGTTATCTAAGCCCTAATTGAACTTGAAGCCAAATTAAAATCTCAATAAATTGCTCCCTTCTCCGAGTTTGTTTATAACGTCGATTTTTTTGTTGTTGCTGTTGCGGCAATATCGATGTTGTTGCTGTTGTTTTTGTTGGTGGTTTAGTTCTGGTGGTGGTGGTGGTTGGTGGTTTTGGTGGTGGTGGTGTAGGATACTTGTTGTGGTTGTTGGTAATAATGTTTTTGTTTTGGTTTTTGTTGCTGCTGTGGTGAATGGTGTGGATGTCTCATTTTTGGGTGGTGCTAGTGGCTGTTTCGTAATATCCAATCATACATGAACAGTTACAGATGCGTTGGCTGGTTTCTTAACTCGCGCAGTTTTAGCAGCACTGTTACGCCCAGTTGTGAATGCACTGTGCACGCTTTTAAAACATATTTCAAACGAAATTCGAAACACTTGACACTGCACACGGTTTGTTTGTATTTGTTTCTTATTATTTTTAGTTGTTGCGATAACGATAACGATAAACGATATACACACACACATACACATACATTGCTACAAGAATTTCTTAAACCTTTAAGCTCTTAAAAGACGGCCCAGAATAACAAATTGGAAACATGGCAATAACACGCACATTGGGCGGCAATGGGTTAACAGAGGGGTGGGTGGGGTTGGGGGTGTTAAGGCTAATGCTAATGGATATCGAAACTAGTTCAAATTTGTATAATTTGCTACGCTCTTTTTGTTGTCGCTCTTGCTGTTACTGTTGCTGCCACTCGCACGGCCACGCTAATTGATTGACAAAGCACAGTGGCTGCCAAACTGTACGACCATGCCCAGACATGGAAAATTTGTAATTTCAGAAAAAGTCTGCGACGTTGCCATAACGCAAAGGCAGCTGGGATTTAAATTGAGTTGAGGGGGGCGCCAGTTAATGAGGATGGCGAGTCGGATGCTGTTGATGTTGTCTGCTGCAGATGACGATGATGATAATGATGCAAATGTATAGCATGTAGAAACGTGTACAAGTGTAAATAGATAAAAAATATAAAAAAAAGGCGGGGTAGGCTGTGAGTCGGTGGTGGTTGGCTGGTAGTTACTTTGGCAGCGTGTGTCTGCCTGATAAGCAAGGCCCGCATTCGAGCCACGCAGGTGTCGCACGCGCCAGCAAGACGTAACGATATTGCCAGTGTTGGAAAATGCAATTACAAAATGCAATTAGCCGCAAGTAACAAGTTTATATCGGAAAAAATGCCAAAGGAAATGAAAAAGCTGAACGGAAGAACGCTCGAAAGGCAAAGATTTCATATTTGATTGGCAGGCAAATCGAACCGAGCCGACAGGAAATCCACGAAAATCAATAAGAGTCTAGCTTAAAGCTTTAAGCATTCTGGTTAGCGTCCAGACATGCAAATTTGCAATATTTTAAATGTAAAAAAAAGGCAAATACGTGCAGAGACCAGACGCAGGTTTGCCCACACACACAAAACGACCAAGACCCAGACGGGGGCGGCTCAGCACTTGAAACAGCAAAGTTCTAGACGTACTTGCAACTGTACAGAAATGTGAGTGCATTATGTATATAGTAGAGTTGTTGCATACATGCGACAAAAACAAAGCCCAGTTGCTACCGTAGTGCACTTTACAGACTCGCGCACACGAGCAGAGGGTGGGGCTGGCTCGCACGCTTTAAAGCCGGCAGCCGACATGCTTTATGGCCGGTGGGCGGAGAATGCATTAAAAATTCACAAGTACAGCAAATAGGCAAAAAAAAAAAAAAATCAAAGTCGCAAACTTCAAACTTTCGGTCAACGAACTCGGGCTGCAAGTGTGCGCAACAGGCTGTCGTCGCTTTTGAACACTGTCGCCCAATCGGGTAAGGGAAACAGCGTGAAGTTGGCTGCGCAAGCAGCGCGTGCAAATTTCCGAAGTGCAACAAATTGACGATTAGCACGCACGCACCATAAAATGGCAGGCAGATATTAATTAAAATTTACATTACGTGTTAAAGCAAAGCCCATTTTTCGTAAATAAACGCATGACAAATTGCGTATGGAGTTATTTGATTACGCATTTACATTCCAATCGCAGCCAACTTAATGCTGTGGTGAATATACATACGTTTCGTGCTGCCAGATCTTTTAAGCAGGCTGCCAATAATTTAAAAGGCAGCTTCCAATGGGCAAAATTCAATGGTGCATCACAAAAATAAACAAAGCAGCAGAAATCAACAGCTGCAAAACGGGGAATTTTGTATGTGGAGCTCGTGTGTGTGTGTGTGTGTGTGAGTGTGTGGGTATGTGAATGTGTTAGTTCAATTTGGCAGATATGCAAATTTGCATGGCGCACATGTAATAGCAACAACAACAACAAGAACAGGAAAGTATACAAGGGGGTTTATCAAACAATAAATTCGGTACGTCAGGCTCTGTGTGTTAGGATGTAAAGATTTCTAGTTTGATGTCAGACACTCACCTCTTGCGATTGAAGAAGCCTCCGCTGCCAGCACCGGCTCCGCCTGCACCTTGCAGATAGTTGTTGCGCAGATTGACCTCCTCGTTCTGTGTTGCATAAATAGAGAGAGAGCGGGTCAGAGGGGCGAAACATTTTGCAACAATGAGTAATGCTATTGCCAAAATGATTTTGCAATCGAATATCAGCAACAGCACATCTGTCGAGCGTTTATTTTTTCTATCTATTTTCCTCCTTGGCACACACAAAAATAGATGCTCGGAAATTCAAATAAATTTGTATGACACTAGCGCGAGGCACACGAAAATAAATCCCCGAACAGCTGACTGGCTGACTGTCAGATAACAAGAAACGAAAACAAAAATAAATTCCGCTAAAAAGTGAAAACTACTGTGATCGCAAATCAAATAAATATGCCACTAATTAAATCAACTAAATGCTAAATGCTAAATGCTAATTGACCGTTGCTGCACGCCAAACTGGATGCTTAGTCCGACCGCTTAGTGCCTCACTAACCGCGACTAAGGCGAGCTGTGTGACAAATCAAAATGAATCACGCTGCCAGCTGACTGCTGATAACGGTATTAAGAAACAATACCCAGAAGGAATGGCGTTGAACTTCGGGAGACCAAATACCGAAGACCAAATACACTTTAGAAAAAAGATTAAGCCAATAAATCTATTATGAAATCTTATTTTTGAATAAGGAACATATCCAAATAAATAAGAAGTTGCTTATTATACAGGTAAATTTATCGAATAGAAATGCCCAATTGATATAACATTACTGAATTTATAAGGGATTTCCGATTTAATATATCGAATGCAATGAATCAATATCCGTTAAGGATCAAAGAATATATTACTTTTAGATAGAAAGTATACGAAAGTAAAATCTATATTAATTTACAAAAAAATATGAATTACGAATTCATTGTTTTTTTAGATATTATTTCTGTTTAAGATTAAAGGCATCTTCTGATAAGTTTTGAAAGTATCAAATGTAAGTGGAAGCATCCACTCTATAATACCAGCAATGGTTTAAAGTTCATACGAATATATTGCTTTTGAAATAAAGAGCATATCATTACAGAGAGTATGACTGATTACTGAAGTGTATATGCTTGACTCTATTTTCTTTGTCTTCGATGCCCAAACCGAGCCAGAAAGCGTATATTCTCTTCAGTCACATTAAAGCTTTTTAGTGTGCGCCAATTATCGATAAACAGTTGGATGCACATTTACAAAGTAATCGAATACTTACGCCAAAAAGCGCTGCGGCTTGCTGCTGCTGCTGTTGATGTTGATGCAGATGTTGCTGCTGCTGTTGCTGCTGCTGCTGCTGCTGCTGCTGTGAGGGGCTGCTGGAGAGCGAATGCGAGTCACAGGGATTGACCATCATGCCCAGAGCGCCATTGTTCTTAATGCCCATCAAGGTGGGCGAGGCATCGCCCCCGCCACTGATTCCGCCGCTGGGACTGTGGATGTGCTGCTGCTGCTGTTGCTGCTGCTGCGTGCTTTGATGAAACGAATGGAGTATGTCGTCCAGCGACTCCTGGTTGGCATTGAAACGCACCGCGATGGGCGTGCTGCTGCTCAGGCCGGGCGGTGTCTTAATTGTGGTTGGCACTGTTGCCGGCACCGCCGATGTGGGTGTTGTTGCCAGGCTACCGACGACCGATGTGGACGCCGAGCCGGATAGATTGCTGTTGCTGCCGCTGGCGCTGCTATTGGCGCTGCTGCCTGTAAGGGGGAAAAGGGTAGACAAAATTCGTTTAGTTTCTCATTTACACACTCTTCTGGCTTTCCGCTACGAACCTTTTGGTAATTTAAGCGAGTCCATGGTGCCCGCACCGACTATTAATGGCTTTGTACGGCTGCACTTGATGAGCTGCGTCGACGGGCGTTGCGTTGCCTTAGCCTACATTAAATGTGGGCCACCAGAGAATGTATCCAAAACATCAATCAGACGCAACGACAGCAAAGAAGGCAGAACAACAAAGACGGCACATGAAAGTGGAATGGAAAAGGAAAGATACGATATATATACAAGACACTGCTAGGTACACGTCATGCGATTAGTTTATCATATTTCTGTATGCCCGCTTTTCGAAAATGTCAAATGGTTCCGCACGTAATTGCGTTTAAAAATAAACAAAAAGCACAAAACACAAGAAACATCACAAATAACAAAGAATAACAGCAACTACTTGACAGAGACTATTCGACATTAAATACCACTTTTTTTCTAGCTATTTTTAAATTAATATTTTATCTATTGCTGCCGTTTAATGTTGGCAATTTCTCATTTCTCATATTATCGAGATATAAGGGGAATCACAAAATATGTAGTCATCGCTGGTGGAATTTTTAATACATCTTTTGCAAATTTATTTCTATAGGCGACTGCAGAGTGCTTGGATTAGTTACGGGGAAGAAACTGGTTCAAATCCTGGACTGCAATGTTTTACTATTCTGGAATATTACGTGATATCGTTCCCATTAGCTCCACTCACAACACTGACCATCCATCTAATTGCATTTGGTTGTGACGGACGCGTTGCCAATTTCAATGTCCATACAAATTTACTATCAGTGCACGTTTTATCGCAACAGAACCAAATGGTTGATAAAAGTGCCCATTAAATGCGCCTTGCTTGTTCTTCAATTGTTCAATAATAGCAACAATAAATCGCTTGATAAAAACAAAGTAGTATTGGGCATGAGCAATAGAGAGAAACAAACATGCTCTGAAATTTGTGGCGCAGCTCTTCCATCTAGAGCTGGAGAGCTCAAATACTCGTGTTACCCCGTTTACCATATGGTGTCGAATCTCTTGGAAGCTCTATGCACGCATTTCACTCTGAAATTGGAACTTGTCACCGGAAAACGCCGATTGTTGTAAAACTAGACGAGCGACGGGGGCAGTGGGACGTTTAATTAGTTAAATGCAAAGAGACAACGGCAATGAATATGTGCGCTGAGGCATAGACAACTGCCCGCAGTTCCCCCTCCAAAGCCCCTAACAATGCATCGCCTATGTACATAGATACGTAAACATATGCACGGAAACTTAGTAAATGACAGATGCCCTTAACATAAATGGGAATCATGGAAATCGCATAGAAAGGCGCTTAGCATGAGGCTGTGCATTTACCTAAATGGGAATAATGAAAATCGCATAGAAAGGCGGGTAGGCATTAGAAGCTGGCTGTACATTAATCTAAATGGGAATCATGGAAATCGCATAGAAAGGCGATTAGCATAAGGAACTAGCTGTAAATTTAGCTAAATGGGAATCATGAAAATCGCATAGAAAGGCGATTAGCTGGCTGTATATTTACCTAAATGGAAATCATGGAAATTTACTTTGAAGCAAAGCGCATACAGTTTCTGCTGAAAGGGTATAAGAGCATAATCAATACATAAATTTGTCCCACAAACGAGAGCTGAGCGACCCCAAAAAAAAAACAAGCAAGTAACTCGGAATTACAGCAACGATGCAGGCAGAGGCCGAGCAATAACAATGACAGTAACGCCCCCCATCCTGGCGCACACACACACGCACGCACTCGTTACAGACACACACGCACTCGCACACGGAAAAAACATATGTAAAGTGCCGCCAAAAGCATAGACAGCTTGGCTCAGGCAGCAGCAGAATCCACAAGAGAGCGCAAATGTGGCGCGTTATGTCTGGGAGAGCGTGTGCTGCACGCTTCTGTGCGTGTGCGTGTATGTGTGTTTGTGCAAACAAATTTATCTGCTTGAAGGTACTTTGAACAAATGAAATTTTGTTGTCTTTTTGCCAGTGCTGTAGAACGCTCAAAAGAATTTGTATTATCACACGTCTGCAATTAGATTTAGTAACTGGGCCAAATAGGCGAGCGTTTTTCTCTACTCTTTGCTCTATATGGACGAACAAAAGGGGGGGGGCGTGCGAGAGCTGGCCTGAGATTTAGGGGTTATTACGGTGTTTGCTTTGCTCAACTGTTTCGCTGCCGTCGACGCTCGTTTCGACGCTCGTCGTTCCGTTCGCCAATGCCCCAATTTCAATTGGTTACGCACAACAGAGAAAAAGGCAACCCTGCTTCGGGGTTGCGCTGTCATCCGCACGAAATTAGGCCAAATGCTGCGCACAGATATAGTTAAATATAAAGTGACATTTTGACAGGTGCAAACGAGGCGAGTCGAAAACAGAAAATTGCTTTTTTATTTCTTTTACCCGCGCCCCCGCGACTCCTACAACCGACAAATATTGTAGCGCTAATAACACTAACCTTTTGTACTTAGAATTTCGCTTTGGCCTCGTCGGCAGTTGTTGCAACGACGCACGAGCGAGCACGAAGGCTGGCGACGAAAACACGACACGACGACACGACGACACGAAAACTTTCAGGTGCAAGTTTTTCTTTTGCGTTTGTGTGCGTGCGTTACATTTCCGGGGGTGCAGGCAGGCAGGCAGGCCGTCTCACTCACACTCGCGGTATTCTGTGTGACGTATATGGCACTATGTATTTTTTTTTGTTTTTTTTTTTTATTTTCTGCAACAGCAGCAGCAAAAATTCCTTTGCTGCGGCAGCGAATTTTTTCTTCCTTTTATGTAAACGATGCGAGAGTTTCAAGCAGCTTTAGCATTTATTTTCATTTAAAAACTTCAACGCGACATTTGATACTGAGTTGTTGTTGTTCATTATTTTATCTCACTTAATGCACACATTACAGAATAACAAACAATTAAACACACGCACAGAGCACACGATATTCCCTTCATACAAAAAATTTAAATTACACTAGAAATTTTGGTTTTAAGAAAACACATAATGTTTACACTAGAATTTGAAGCTTAGTATCCAATGAAATTAATTTGTTTTGTAATTTTCGAACAGCTCCGTCCGCTCGCTAGCGCGACGATTGTGAGACTGAGTTCTAAAAATTTTCACTGCTGCCAGCTTTTCACAAGCTTGTTTTGTCGCACTCGTCGCCTACTTTTCCGACACAAACTCAAGCGCACGACGAAAAATCAATCATCTTCGGTTGTTTTGCTTTCATACGGTGTTTCGTGCTTTGCTGACAGCCCAACAACAACAACAGAAACGACAGCTGCTCGGAGTGCAGCGTTGCCGTTGTGCATTGCATTGCAGTTTATGCCGATATATCGATATATTTATAATGTAATTCAAACCACAAAATGCAACTGAATGAATTACGGATTTCAATTGCATACATGCATTACATAAATATAACACTATTATATGCTATATGTAAATAGTTTGAATCATCTGGCAACACTGCGGCGCAATGCATTGCCAGCAACGAAAGCAGAATACAAGAAAACAAGCGAATTACATAAATGAGCGCTACTTACAATAACAACGCCAACAACGTTCCTGTGCCACTATTGTTTCAGGTATACAAAAAACTGCACAAACATCAGCTGCGTCTTATGGATGTCGTTTGCAACACACACGCGCGCGCGATTGTCAGCGATGTTGTTCTTTAGGTTTTGGCCTTTGTGTAATATGTGTATACAAAATATATGTGCACCCTTTTGTTGTTACCCCACTAGAAAAAGCTGTGTCAGATATTTTTCACTAATTTATGTACATAATTCTTATTTTATATTTTTTTTGTGGGTTTTTGTGTAATTTTTATACAAGTTTTCCTAGACAACTACGATAGCTGCTCAGACAAGCAGTCGACCTGCAACTAAACATTTTACAGTAAGCTTTTTACAGCTGTTTCGTCGCCTACTTCGATCTTTATTTATCGATGTGGCCACACTGAAACGATAGACAGCGCGCGCGTTTGCGTATTCAAAAATCGATTAATTTCAATTAAAATTAGGTACACACACAAACGCACGTACAGCTTGAGTTGATTGTTCAATATATACTATATTAAATGCAATCAAACATATGTATTGCCGTTCTCATACCGGTTGATCTTTTCATAGGAAAACACATAAAAAAGAATCACGACCGGGCTAGTGATAGTATGTACACTAACAAAGAAGACCGGTTTTTTGATAAGCGGCTCTACTCAAGATTCTTTATTTGAGCTTTGTGCGCATTTGTTATTCTCAACGCCGTCATGTCACACGGCTTGCGCTTTGTTTTCTGTGGGTTTTTCCTGCTGCTACTGGCCCTGGCCAGTGGCTACAAGGTGCCCAAGGCTAAAATTGAGGTGTTCTACCCGAAAGGCTTTGAGGTATCCATACCGCACGAGGAGGGCATTACGCTCTTCGCCTTCCACGGCAAACTGAACGAGGAGATGGAAGGTCTGGAGGCAGGCACTTGGGCACGTGACATTGTCAAGATGAAAAACGGACGTTGGACTTTCCGAGATCGCCAGGCCGAGCTAAAACCAGGCGACGTTCTATACTATTGGACCTACGTTATCTACAACGGCCTGGGTTATCGCGAAGATGATGGCGCTTTCGCGGTAAATGCATTCAGTGGCAGCATACCGACGCCCGTTTCAACGACTGCGTCACCACCACGAACGACAACTCCATCCACGGGAGACCCAGATTTCGACATTAGGCTCGGCGCTTGTGATGCTCCCAAGACGCATGTGAACGGCGTGCCGACTCGTTGCGTTAGCCAACTGATCTTTGTGGAGGAATTTAACGCTGGCAAGCTGGATCCGGCCAAATGGCTAGTGGAGCATCGTTTCTCTGGCGTTCCGGACTATGAGTTTAACATATACACGAATGATGCACCCGACACGTTGAGCCTGGTCAATGGAAAGGTTGTGCTGAAACCCTTTTCAACGAAACGCTTATACAAACAAAGTTTGGACTCTAAGCTGGATCTGGGAAGCGAATGCACTGGCGAAAAGGGCACGTCGGACTGTGTCCGTGATGCCAGGAACAGGAACAGGCCCGACAAGCTGCCCCCACTAGTGTCCGCACAGTTCTCCACCAAGAAGAGCTTCTCCTTCAAATATGGACGGGTCGAAGTGCGCGCCAAGATGCCGCGGGCCAAGTATCTGGTGCCCCAGCTATGGCTACAGCCCAAGGCCCATGTTTACGGCAAAGACGACTATCAGTCTGGTCAGTTGCGCATTGCCTATGCCCGACAAACGACTGGGGGTCAACTGGACCTTTACGCCGGAGCATTGCTCAATGCCCAGGAGCCGTTGCGTTCCACCAAGCTGTGTCACAGGCTGGGCTCCAGCAGCAGCAGCGACGATTGGAGCGAGAGCTTCCACAACTATACGCTGGAGTGGACGCCACGACAGCTCAAGTGGTTCGTGGATGGCCAGGAGCTGTGCACCAAGGGCAGCGAGACTGGCGCATTCAGCGAGACGAGCGTTGCCAATAAAAAGCTGCCAAATGCGGATGAGCTGGAGAAGGGCACTGGTATTGCGCCTTTTGATCAGGAATTCTATTTGACATTTGGAGTAGGCGTTGCAGGATTCAATGAGTTCTTTTACGACTCAGATAAACCTTGGCATGAAGCAGATCCTCGAGCCATGAACGATTTTTGGAACACTTTTAGGCAAAAGCAGGATCAGTGGCTAGATCAGGCACAGCTCACAATTGATTATGTCAAGGTTTATAGTGTATAAAGTCAATAGCTTATATAATGGCCTAATAAAAAATGGATATTCCTGCTAAAAATTCAATTTGTACGTTGAATTTGTCACAAATTTTTTTCAAACGTAGCCCAATATTAAGTGTGCAAGCATATATATATATTTTGTCAAAAAGAAATAAATTAATACTCAAATAGGGAGATTTTCGGATAGGTGAAGCGGCTAGATCTGACCGAAAAAAAGTTAAATTTACCAAGCTATTAATTTTAGCTGCTTATTTGAAATCTCGATAGTTCAATTATTTAGTAGGGTCACACTGCCCGCATCGATAGCAGAGTCACGAGCACGAACAGCTGTGTGCCTATTGCCCTTTTTCGGTAAACTTCCATCACTAGTGCTCACATAACCCTCTGCGGCATTTGTCCATTAGAAAAACACAAGTAAATTGGACATAGACTCGTATTTAGATGCTTTTCTAACTTAAATCACGTTTCTCATTGCCAGCTGAACACAAAATGCAAATCACACGCCTTGTGCTGCGCCAACTTAGACGCCAAATCCACGTTCAACGTCAGTACAGTGCTGCTGCTCCGGCCGCAGCTGCAGCCGCTGAGAAACTCGTGCCACCCGTGCCGGAAGGCGCCGCCAAGCCACCCAACCCAAAGCTCGACAGTATCGTCAACAATATAGCCGCGCTTAATCTGCTCGAGGTGGCCGAACTGAGCACGCTGCTGAAACAAAAACTGAATCTGCCAGAGACTGCATTTGCGCCCCAGTTCGCCGCCGCCGGCCCCGCGCGTGCTGCTGCTGCCGATGATGAGGAGGAGGCGGCGCCCAAGAAAGTACAGACCTCGTTCAAGGTGAAGATGATCAAGTTCGATGAGAAGCAAAAGGTGGCGCTAATTAAGGAGGTCAAGAATCTGCTCGAGGGCATGAATCTGGTGCAGGCCAAGAAGTTTGTGGAGAGTGCGCCGACCATTGTCAAGGAGGACGTTACGAAAGAGGAAGCCGAGAAGCTGAAGGAGGCGCTGGCCAAGGCGGGTGCCATCATTGAAATTGAATAAGCTTACTTTTTTCTACTATTTGGCACCAATGTCTAGATGCTAGTTATTTGTTGTAATAAAAAACTGGACAGCACATGCTGTAAACTTACAGGTATGCCTTCTAAAATAACAAATGTATGAAATAACTGTTATTTGTGGCAACTTTGTTGCAACTTTCTACGGGGTTTCCTCTCAAGAATTGACCACTTTTACCTTTCTGAATGAGTTTAAACATTAATTAGTAGCCGGCATATATATTAACTCGATGTAATTAGTGCGACTCTGCTAATTGAAGTCGTGCGCAGTGCCCACCACTAGGCGATGAATGCAGTTGCGGTTTGAGCATCGCCCAGCGTTGCCACTGTAATGCGAATTGTACCGTTAAAGAGCTGTTACATCATTTGTAATGAAGCCCGGCTCGAAATGGGAGTGTTAACTATAAATAAATTCAAATTGAGCGATAAACTCAGACTTGGCTACTGTGTTTGCACATTCAAATAAAAGCAAACAGCGCGCACTTTCTACGGTAGGAGGAATCATGCGACGATTGTTCACGCGTGTACCGAAAATTATGTGCGTATAGCTTCGGTATGGGTATGCTGTGTATCACTTTCATCGACCCGTTGATTTGTTTGCTGTCATTTTGAAAATGTTTTTTACAGAACCGTCGACTGGCTGTGCGTGAATGCTCCAAATATTTGCAGCCGCTGAAATAAACTTCACACGACTTGCGCTGCATTGCCCGCCCCGGAGAAATGTGGAGCGCAGGGAAGGCTGGAGCCGCGCGTCGCGGTCTTTCAATTAGCACCTGCCGTCTCACCGGTGGCCCAGTAAGCTCCAGAGCTGCGGCCCGCCTCAGCTCAGTCTCAATCGAAGCATAGACGCGTACAAGACGTTCTTTCCGCCGTGATTTCGGTCCTAAGTGAAAAACCGAAAGTGAATTGGATCGCTATTTTAGCCATGTCAGAACGCACACATTCCACGCGCATTTTGGCCATTGTGGCCCTCTTCTTCAGCAGCTACATTGTGGGCATTTACAGTGCGGCCCGGGCCAGCAGCCAATTGCTGCACTCGGATGCAGCGCACAATGACAGTCGCTCGCTCGAAGACAAACTGGATTTGCTGGACAAGGAGGCTGCGTCGCAGACGGAGACGGGCCTGGCGCGGAGCAGCTCTCGAAATCCTCGCTGTAAGTTTCCAAGTAAAAGCTTAAAGCTTCCTTACTCGTGTGTGAGTGCTGGACGTTTGTTTTGCCGTCGCCAGTCCAATGCATGTATGTGGGTCACATTTCAATTATCACCCAGTGGGCAGGTTCCGTGCTGAACTCTTTAGTCTTAGCCACACTCTGTGACAGCGCGGCAACTTACAGATTCCCCGTGGTACTTGGCTTCCGAGTTACTTTGATCTGAGTAATAGAATATCAGAGAGCGGTTACTTACATGAAAATTTTAACAAATCTGTTGCTATCAATTGTAATTTAAATAGTTTTCGAAGCCAAATAGTTGTGAACTATCTTCGGGATCAATCTGATTATATTAGACCTAATGATCGCCTGATATAATCTAATGAATCCTAGAATTTCCTTAGTTTCCAGCCAGCGATAAAAAGGATAACGCTCTTTAGAATATTCTTAATTTGTTAAATTTAATTGCAATTCAAATAATCTGTTATAATCCTTCTGAAACTTAACAGGGTTTCCCTTCTATACGATCGGTCGTTTTTCGAATGACATTTGCCTGGGCAACAATCTTCTAATGGGCACCTGCGTCATAAGTGGAGAATGCACCGATAATAATGGCGTGGCAGCCGGCAGTTGTTCCACCATTACCAACCAGGCCATTTGCTGCATATGTAAGTTGACTCGAGTTCACGTTACGCCCCTCCAAAGCTGACCTGACGCCGCCTGTTTTACAGACCAGCGCACCTGTGGCGCCAGCACCAGCTACAACAACACATATTTCTACAACAGCAACTATCCGGCACCTTTTGCCGGCGGCGGACGTTGCAGCATTGTGGTCACTCCGCCGGACTCGACCATTTGCCAGCTGCGCATCGATTTTCTGGCCCTGTCGCTGGCGCCGCCAACCGGTGATGGTTTGTGCAGCACCGATGCGTTGACCATATCGGGTGGTGCCTCGCAGGTGCCCACTATTTGTGGCGAGAACTCCGGCCAGCACGTTTATGTGGACTTCAATGGCGTCGGTTCCATTACCATATCGGTGGCCACATCCGGCAGCTACACGTTCAATCGCCAGTGGCAGTTCCAGCTACGCATGATAGGCTGCACCTCGGCGACACTGGCGCCCGCCGGTTGTCTGCAGTATCACATGGGATCCTCGGGCAATATTGCGAGCTTCAACTATGTGTCCGCTGCCTCCTCGGCGCTCAACTCGATTGGTGTGCAGGGCACACGGCAGTTGGCCAGCATGCGCTATGGCATTTGCATACGCAAGGCCACCGGCATATGCTCCATTACATACAGTCAGGTCAGCTCGGATGCGTACTCATTTACGATGACGAACGATGTGGGCGCCGTGGATCCCACGCTGCTGGCCACATCCGCGGTGCAGAGTCAGGACTGCACAACGGATTACATAATTATACCGGCGCCCACGCAGAGCGGCACCAATATGCCCAGCGACAGGTTCTGCGGCCTGGGTCTGGTCGCGACGACGAGTGCTGCGAAACCCTTTGTGGTCTACGTCGTGACGGATGCCAATGAGGAGATGGACATATCGAATCGTGGCTTCTACTTGTCCTACTCGCAAAATTCGTGCCCCGTGCTATAATTCAAAATGTTTATATGTTATATGGATGCCAACTCGAGATGATTAATCAATAGCAATAAATTAATTTATACAACACATTAATATTTTATACAAGTCTTAGTCGGGTTAACACATATATCTGTTTAACAATATCAGGGTTTACTGTACATAATTTATCTAACAAACTCGAGCAGGAGTACGATTCGAACTACGCGGCCAAACGAATAAGATTATCAATTTCCGCCTCGAGCTCTTTGATCTGTAATTGATTTAACGGATTAGTAAAAGCCAACTATATATATTAGGATTAGGATTAGAATGTGGACTCACCCGATTATTAAAATGCACCTTTGTGGCACTATCGGCCATCAGCTGAAAGGCCTCGTTGTCCACGCGCAGGCGATACTTCTGCAGCTCGTTGACCAGTTTCTTGAGCTTCTTCTTGTTCTCCTTAATCATTTCTTCGCGCTTGGCCGGGGGCATAGGGATGTCTTCGTTCATGCTAATGCCAAAGGAGCAGAGCGCGCCGGCTGTTGAGAAAAAGTTCAGCTTCTTGGAGAACTTGGACTCCTCGTTCAGCAGTTCCAGCTCCACGCCCGCGCAGCGCGTTAGCACTGCAATCTGGTCGAGATGACGACGCAGTATAGTTTCCGCCTCCTCGTTTTGGGCAAATAGACACAATTTGGGTGAATGGCGTTTGCTGATCTGATTGCGGCTCTTCACCTGCCGCACGGTCGTGCAAATGCTGACTATATCGGCAACCTCGGCCTGCAGTTTGGGGTCCAGATACTGCGATAGCTTCAGCTCAATATTGAGCGGCACATGCTGCAGCAGTTCGTCGGCAACAAAGGGCGTAAAGGGCGACATGGCCTGCAGGCCCCAGCTGAGGCAGGCGGTCAGAGTTGCCACGTGGACGTAGGCGCTGGGGCTACGACTGCTGATGGCCGCTTTTGTGGTTTCCTGGCAGACAAGAGTAGCATTAGGTGGTGCACAAAGTAAGTGGCTGCATAGTAAAGACTTACCAGGTAAACATCACACAGATTTTGATAGAAGAAATGCTTCAGCGCCGAGGTGGCCATGTGGAAATTGTAGTTGGTGGAGCAGTCGGAGCATATGGACAGTGTCTCGGCCAGTCGCCCGATGATCCAGCGATCCCACATGCCGAGCTTAACGCCCTCCATGGTCTCAAATTCATTTAGACCAATGCCCAAAGATTTGGCCGAACCCAGTGTGAAGCGCATGGCCTGCCAGATCTTGTTGAGGAACAGTTTGTTGGTGTAGCAGGCGGCCACATCAAAGTTGATGAAATGATTCTTAATATTATGGCTCAGCAGCGTGAAGCGCAGCGCATCCGTGCCGCACTCTTGGATGCCATTCGGAAACATTTTGGTCATGCCCATAGTGGATGTTTTCAGCTCCTTGGGATTGATTATGCCCGAATCGCAGGATTGCTGCAGTGCCGCCTTCAGGCTGTCCAGGCTGGCGCCCTGAACGACCTGCTGTGGCGTCACAATATTGCCCAGGCTCTTGGACATCTTTCGGCCCTGTGCATCGCACACGATGCCATTGAGCAGGATGCGACCGAAGGGCGCCTTGCCGGTTAGCTTCAGGCCCATCATCATCATGCGCGCCACCCAAAAGAAGAGTATATCATGGCCAGTTTGCATCAGGTTCAGCGGATACTTCTCTTTGTAGCTTTCATCGGGCCAACCAGCCACGGAGAAGGGCAACAGCGAAGAGGAGAACCAGGTGTCCAGTACATCTGGGTCTCGGGTCAGTCTTAGTTCCTTGCTGCCCAATTTGAGCTCCGCCTTTTCGCGGGCAGCTTCCTCATCGATTGCGGCCACCCAGCAGCTATTGCCTTTGGAGTCAAAGGCTTGGTATGCGGGCACCTGGTGACCCCACCACAGCTGACGGGAAATGCACCAGTCGCGCGAGTCCTGCAGCCAGCGCTCCCATTCCAACTCGAAGATGGAGGGCATTATTTGCAGTCGGCCGCTTTTCAGCTCTGACAGGGCATCCTCGGCCATGGATTGGGTCTCGAGGAACCACTGTGGCACCATCATGTATTCGATGATGTCCTTGGAGCGTGAACACAGCGGCAGCTGCATCTTATGTGCACGCACCTCACGCAGCAGGTCTAGTTCCTCCAGGCGATCCACGATCAGATCGCGTGCCTCAAAGCGTGGTTTACCCCGAAACTCTGAAAAGGCCTCCTCGATTTCGCCGCTTTCGGTAAACACGCGGCGTCCCTCCAGATTGTGGCGAGTGGCCAGCTCAAAGTCGAATTTGTCATGGGCTGGTGTAATCTTAACGGCACCAGTGCCGAATTCTCTGTCCACGCTGAGATCATAGATCAAAGGAATTGTGTCGCCCCGAAACGGATGCCGCAGTTTAACTTCCTCCCGGCTGCGGTATTTGCTGTAACGTGGATCGCCCGGGTTCACAGCAACCGCCACATCACCTAGAATGGTTTCGGGTCTTGTGGTGGACACGACAATCTCCTCGGCCGTGCCATCCTCTTCGGTCTGGCCACCAACTACGCGATAGGCAATGTCAAAGATGCGTCCGAAAAGCACATTGTGGTCGTAGCCAGGCACGGCAATTTCAATAGGCTCCTTCACCTCCATAGTTTCCACCTCAATGTCGGAGATGGCGGAGCGCAGGGCACAAGACCAGTTCACGAGCGAATTGCGTCGCTTAATTAATCCTTCGTCGAAGAGTCGCTCAAAGGCCACATTTACCGCAAGTGCCTGCTTGGTGTCCATGGTAAAGTACACATGCTCCCAGTTGAGCGTACAGCCCAGCTGGCGCAAATCCTGCACAATGCCAGCGCCCTTTTCTGCTTTCCATTTCCACACCTCCTCCAGGAAGGCTGTGCGTCCGATTTCCTGCCGTGTTATACCCTTGGTCGCGGCCAACGTGCGCTCCACGACCACCTGTGTGGCAATGCCGGCATGATCGGTGCCCGGCACCCACTCCACCTCGTAGCCCAGCTGTCGTTCCTGGCGCGCAATTACATCCTGCACGGTGGCATTCAGTGCGTGCCCCAAATGCAAATTGCCAGTTACATTTGGAGGCGGCAGTATCATGCGGTATGTGCCACGTTTGCAAGAGGTGAGCACCTCCTTCTTTGGCTCCTTCTCACGCGCCCAATACGCATCCTCCACTACCTTTGGCTGGTAGCCCGGCGCTAATGGCAAATCGGCGCCTGAGTTCAACTTTTGTTAGCCGGCGTTTTTCTTTAATGAAAATATCATTGAACTCACCTTTGGACGTGGTATAGTAAAGCGTGGATGTGACATTTAGCAATTTTGGCTGGCAAAGATGTTTGTGTTTGACTAAATTACGGGTAACTACTTTAATAATTTGCATTATTCCAATTCCGTGGGCCTCGGCAATTGTTGTTATGTCAACTGGTTAGGGGCAGTGTGTACACAACGTTCAAAATGTTCAAAAATGTTCATAAATACAAACAGCTGATTGCTAGAGCTGAGAGCGATAGTTGCTTCGATACGATTGTTATCGATACCAATTCAAAATAAGCCCGCTCATATATTTGAAATATATTTGTGGCTGTCAGTTATTTTCGTTTTATTGATACTGACTGCATTTATTAGTTGCTTTCTTATATTTTTGCGTATAAAATCGACCAAAGAGAATAAGAAAAGAGATCATATATGCAACTCCCGTAAAACTAAGCCATGGTTGGTACTCACACCTGTATACAAGAGCCTGAGCTCCCCAAGCCAGCCCCAATGCAAACTGCAACAGCTGCAGCACCGTTAAATAGCGTTTCCACCATAGATATGGGTACAACCGAGGTCCCAGAGCGCTCAGTGAGTAATATCCGTACATAATGATGTGCACAAACGAGTTCATCAGGGCCGGAACAAAGGCTGAAAGCGGTAGACTTTAGGAAAATACTTGTATAAGCTACATAACTTACTGGAGCCGGTGGGAATCCATTTTACTACTATCCAGCATATAACAAACATGCTGCTGTGATGATAAACGTGCAAAAAAGTCAGCTGTGACCACTTCTTGCGGAGTATAAAAAATAAAGTGTCGGCAAACTCCAAAATCTTTGTTATGTAGAACCACCAAAACGCCGTCGCAATCTGTTGATTAAGGTGGGCACAGACACAATTTTCGCTACTCCAAAGTGGAACAGAAATATGCATCAACTTACACGTACTTCATGTGGATCATAGCTAACTCTGTACGGCTGACACTGGAGGCTGTAGTTAAGGGCCCGCGATGCAGTGTAGAGCTCGAGGCAAATGTGGGCGTTGAGCATGGCCATGAACAAATTGTAGCAGAACAATGGGGCACGCAGCTGAAATGGCTTGCGACTGCAACGGATGCAGCATGAATGAAAGAGAATATGATGGTATTTAAGGGTGCTGTTTGTATTCCACACACACACACACACACACACACACACATACATACGCACCTGGCCATCCATTTGGGCGCAAAGTGCACCAGCAGCAAGTACAAGGCCAGCAGAGCCGCAGCATTCCAAGGCGATGCCACCATCGGCCAAGATTGTGTGCGCTCATCCGCCAGCTCGGCAAACGGATAACTGTCCAGCCAGCCAGAGGACGACATGACCTATCGCCGTCTAGGAATGCCAGTGGGAACTAAGTGTGCCAGCTCGTTGCACGCTGGCTTTTTATTATGTTGGCCTGGCCATTGATGCGTTTAAATGCCGGCCGTTCGTTTAAATACATATTTGGACTAGTACATTTTGTTTTCTTTAATTAAAAACCATTTACTTGACCCCTAGACCGATTCAAGCGTGAACTACCTAAGGGTCACAAGATGCTTAAATGTACATCAAGATGTTGTCGCAACAATAAAATATACTTAACCTTATGACTATGTTATATTTATTGGGTCATATATCTCTTGTCTGGTGAATGATTAAAGCAAAGCAGGTTCCACATTGAAAAAAACATCATATTTTATTGGTATTTTCCTGTTATATAGCATAGCATGTAAAGCTGTAGTGGCTTATTTGAATTCATGAGAATCGCAGAGAAAGGCGATAGTTAGCAATACGTTTCTGCATGTTATTTTGCAGCACAGCGGGGGCAGTTATAAAAAATAAAGTAAACTTGGTTTGCGTTTGAAATTAAGGTCCACAAATGCTTACATATACGCAGACAAACATACAGACATGCCCACAAGGTAATTTTTACTTGGTCTGCGTTCAATATTCGGCAGCCTGCCAAGTTTTTATCTATACATTTCAATTATTTATGGGCTTAAAATGAAACTGTAACGATTGAAAATAAAAATATAAGTACCGAATTTTGTAGATTTATAGTTTTAATTTAATGAAGATGAGTTTTTATTTCATTGAGCTCAGGCTTGGGACAAGCAAACCCTTTCATTGACCTAGTGCAAACGTTTGATACATAATAAACATATATTTATCTGTAGCTTTCTAGTTGCTGTGGCCCTCAAACAGTGCAGTCGGCGGAACAGATGAATAAAACGTGAAAAGGCACAAACGTGAGTGGAAAATTAAAAGCCAAATGTTAAATAAACATTTGTCCAAGCAACACTGAGGACTTGCATTGCCAAAATGCGCTACACCCAGTCAGGTATTTCAATTCTGAAATGCAGTTTACAGCTTGACAACATTTATTGTGCCCAGGACTTGCAATGCTTGCCATAGACAAAAGGCAGCTTCTGGGGCCGCTAAAGTATTCGATGCATCCAAGGGGGGGGACACAGCGGGGGGCACAAATAGAGGCAACAACAGGGCTTGCATTCGACTTGGCCATCCTGGCTCCGGCCAAGTCCTAATGCTCTGCCAGCTTTCGCTCTGCCAGCTGTTGTACTTTTAGCGTCTGCGTCTCCGACTCCTTTGGCCCTTTATTTGTACTGACTTTGGCTCCATTTTCTATTATTGTTTTCTTTATTTGTATTACTGTACGTGTCTGCACCTAAGGCACTTTGTGCCCCCTCCCTCTCACTCTCTCTCTCTCTCTCAGCCTGGTTATACTTGGCGACCACTGTTGGAGCAGCTGCGTCCAAAAGTTGTTAGTCAAAGGGTTAAGCATGAGAGCATTATACATTCTCATATTTTATTTCCAGCTGCAGTAGAACGCGTTACAGGACCAGCTCGGAACTTTTATATCGGTAAGAAAAATGTGCCTTAAACCAAGAGTCAATTTTCATTAAAATATTGTCACTGTTGTCAGAGCCTCAAAATGGCATTTCAGCATATGTGTACACTCAGAAAAATAAATGGACTAGAATAGCGCAAAATTGCATGATACTTGGTTGAAGTTGACAAACAAGAAAGATTGGCGAACGTAACGAAATAGAATATGTACTAAAATCCACAAATTTTAATCTTCTTTTAATTTTTAACGAATAGAAATTTAAGTTGTGATCAAATATACATTTCAAACTCTGCATTTGCTCAGACAAAAATGTTTTAGGCCAATTAGTCTTATTTTAAGATAATTTTTTTTCGTGTAGCAAAACTTTTCTCTTTTTTTGAATACCTAATAATTTATTATTAATTATTTTTAAAGCAATTAGGCCTGTTTGATGTTTTTTTCGTAGTGTATGCACGCATCTGCCCTGTGCCCTGTGTCCACGCCCACCGCCCATCGCCCATCGCCCACATTGTGCGGTTAACCGCTTGGCTTTGCTTATCATTGGGCAGAGGAAGCTGCACACATGCCTCAATGTCCTGCGGCAGCGCTTGTCCTTTTGTCATCTGTGTGTGTGTGTGTGAGTGTGTCTGTGTGTGTGTGCTTATATATGCGTGTAATTAAGTTAGTGTGATTGTTATAATTCACGAATTCAGGGCCGGAGTTAAAAGGGCGCACAACAGCCTCACAAGTTCGTTTGCCAAACCAAATAATCTAGTTCCATGCTTGGAACGAGCCAGTTCAGCCATCCAAGCGAGCATTCAGTGACATTTTTGCGGCAATGCCAACATTTTTGATAGATTTGCACGATGTGCTCATCAACCGGCTTGTAGCTCGTACTGCATCGTTAGTTTAGATCCCTTGTGGTAAGGGCTGTGGGAAAGTGGGGTGAAGGGACGCGGGGGCGGGGGGCAGGACACGGGCCAGTCAATTTGAGTTTATCGCGCCGACATTGTCGCCCTGTCTGTGCTCCACGTGAGTTATTAAATAGATTACAGTTTTGTGTTTGGGGGCTTTGCATATGCACAATGTGTCACCGAACATGTCCTGCAGTCCGCCCCAAACCGCAAGCAGGAGTCAGTAGAAGGGAGCTACACACATACACACAAAGACACTCGCACACACACACACGCACACACGTGAGCACACAATGCCCAACATGCATGAGCGGTTCATGAAATTGAGTTTCTGTTTTGCCCACTGTGCACCCCTCGCTGCTATTTATGTCTCCCAGTCCATGAAGAGTTCTATAGTAGATGGCGCATATTTTAGAAGCTGAATAAAAAATAATAACAAAAAAAAAACACAAACGAGAAAATATATATAATCGAAATAAACGAGCATAATATACCTGCCTGCTGGTTTAATTTATAATCAAGTTCCATATATTTTTTCTGTTTCCATTTCGGTTTTCCCTTGAATATGCTATATCAATTTTCAGTAACCATTGGACATCGGTCGTGGCTGCAGCAATTGCTGTCAGTGAAAATGTCATAAAGCAAGTTGTCGTCCTTCGCTTGTTGTTGTTGTTGTTGGCGTTTTTTACTTTTTATACCCTATACTTAATGAAAATGGGAAAAGAGGTTATGATGTTTTTAGGCAAATGTATGTAATGGGCAGAAGGATGCATCTACGACCCTAAAAAGTATATATATATACTTCAGATATATATTTTTAATCAAGACAACTATCATCAACAGCTTGAGCACGTTTCTCCCGCTCCTCAAGCTAGCCAAGCTTTGATCTTTCGGATATTTGTTCACTTGGCTGCGATGCTTAAGCCCTGAAAATTGCACAAAGATGGGACTACAAAGAACGAAGTTCCTTCAGAATGCACTTTTTATAGAGCTAAGTGAAGAAGTTTCTAGTATGTGTGCATGTGTATACATATGTATATGTTTAAAAGCAACTTCTAATGTCTGTTACTGAACCTTGTCGCCGGGTACAGGATATCTCCTAGTCGTGTTGTGTTGCTCTCCGCACTTTGACTTGTTTTTTAATGATGATTCCAGCAAGTTGAATGCTTCGCTGCTTTTTTTGTTTGTTATTTGTTGTTCTTTGTGTTGCGAGTGGCATATTGAAAGCGGATACTGGCCAGGTCAGTGGCTCAGCTGTCGATGGCCATGATGAGCTGACCGTTGCACTTGGCTCTGGTTCGTTTGCAGCATTTCCGGCTCGTCTCCGGGCAATGGCAAAGTGACAAAGTGCTCGGCGCTGTATTAAGAAACCATTTTGAGAACTGTCTCAAAGGATTTATTATTACTTACTATTGGTAGTTGGTTATTGTTGTTGTTGTTGCTGCTGCTGCTGCTGCTGAATGCACACGTAAATTGCATAACATGAGCTGTTTGGTTGTCTTTGTTGTTCGTCCAATCTACTTATATTTGGAGTCCTTTTCTTTTCATTTTGTTGCCGCTCTCCGGTTCTGGGTGCAACTGTGCGTGGCAAAGTGTGCAACATATTTTATTTGTATTTCCGTTTTGTTGAGTTGTTGCCTTCAGATCGTTCTTCTATGTTACTCCTTACTTCTGCCCGCCCAACTGGTGTTCCACTTACGCAGCTTGGGCTGCCGTTGGCGTTGTCACAACACTTTGATACGCGTTATTTACAACACATTTGTCTTGGCTTCGGTTCGGTTAGCTTGCGGATGCAGCCAGCGCCAGGTGTCTTCTATGGCACATTTATTGCCTTTTCCTCGTGTTGTTGTTTATTCAAGTCTCTAGGTGAGTCATCTCGGGTATTATTTGTCTTAAGTCACTAGCGAAAATAAATGGATCGAATTTAAAGTTTACTTTAAAAGGCACTCAATTGCTGGTTAGAGTGATGGACTGTCTCGATTAGAGAGTAAGGTTGGCTTAAGCTTAAAGAAAAAACACAAGAGTTTACCGAAATTTCTTTGTTTCTTTTCCTAAAAGAACAATTTCCAATTTGTAATATATAACCTACATTTTAAAGTCCACGTCGAAAGATAGTTTTATTTATAAGCATTCGACATTGATTGCTGCACGTCATTTAATTTGTGTAACACATTAATTTGTGCAACCCCAAGTATTTTGGGAATTAGTTTTAGCATTTGGGACCCTCGTTACTTAAAGCAAACTTATTTTGCCAGACATCAATCACTTTGTAAAGATTCTACAGCACTTCACACTTTAATTTGCGTAATGAATTAAATTAAGCTAAGAAAATGTGGAGAACCCTTATTGAACAGACACATCCACAACAACAACAACAAGAAGAAGGAAGCCTAGAGTGGTCCACAAATATTAATTGCATTTTAATGTCTTTATTTTGTCGAATATTTTGCAACACAAAAAGCCATTAAACTGATTACTTACACAGCCATTGACACCTTGGGGCTTTGCACAAGTGAAGCAAGTTGTTTGCCCAAAAGATTCTACGAGTGAGAAGAAAATCAAAATAAAAGCACACCGAAGAGCTCTTCACTTCTTGAACTCAATGTGTGTGTTGGCTCGATACGAATTGCCTTTATATGGAGCAATATCGAAAAACTGGCACATTGGCAGTGAGTGA